ATTGGGATAAACAGGTTTGAAATAATTTCAATGTATACAATAGGACAGTAAACCAAAAATATTGTTTAAAACTGGAGAAATAAAAATGTGCATTACTAAATAAATGTTAACTAGGTCAAATAAGATATGAATGAACAACAACAACAACATTAGTTACATTTATTTGTTATTGGCTATGGTAGGTTATTGATTATGTTCACATACTTATTTGATTATTAAAATGTAAACCGATCTTTTTCATATGGGTGTTTTAGAGTTGTACCCCCAGAGTCTCTAGTGTGTGCTCAAAGTGCAACAGATTGAAGCATTTTACTTTAAAATGTTCAAACATTTCTTCCTGGGGGAGCATACCCCCGGACCCCCCCTAGAGGATGTGATGTTCACACCCCAATTCAAACATGTTCATACAATACTGAATACATTAGAAGCCTTTTTTATGTATATTACCTATGTCAATAAGTTTCTGTTTTTGTAGTGTATTTGTCTTCTGTAGAGATTTTTCATTTATTCCCCCCCCCCCCCCCCCTATATTCTATGTGACACAAGTCACGTAGTCAACTCAATTATTTCATTAATTGGAAGAAAACAAAAGCTGGTAACACTAGTTTTCTCTGTCAAATGTTCTCTGCTCTTCTTTGGCTGAGAATAAATGACTCCATTATAAAACTGGCTCAGTAAGTCACACCGTCCCTTGTGAGCTATGGCATGTCTCCAAAACTAAGACATTACTGGATTACAAAGCCTTACTAGATAATGCAAGTCTGGGAGATGTCTACGGAAACGCTACAGTTGATCCACTGGATGTTGGAATATTGCAGAAAATAGACTCTGTGGCACACAAAAGTGTATGATCCATACACGTTATGTTGATAAGGATAATCGCCACATATTGAAACAATGTCAGCAACTGCCGTTTTTAGGAAACACAAAAACGTTTCAGACCTTAACAAGTTGGGTTTTTTCACTGACATATTTTAACTTTGGTAAGCTTGTTATTAAATAAATAATTATTAATAATGTATTTCAGACATAAAACCAAAACTCATCCCTAAAACAATTTACTTACCCGAAAGTGCTCAAATGCTACCTCATTTTCTGGTTTAGGACTCATTCTTGCACCACTCTTAGAGCCTGGGCTTGGAAAACCAGAGGTTCGCCCGTTCAAGTCCCTGAATGGACACCGTGAGGATTGGTACTTCGACAGGTGCCGGTTCACCTACTGGGAACCTCTGGGGTGCCCTTGAGCAAAGCATCAGACCCCCATACTGCTCTCTGGGCAAGGTATATAAAATGGCTGCTCCTATTACTAGGTTGGGTTAAAAGTCTGAATTTTGCTGTGTGTTTGCTGTGTGTTTGGTGTATATACTTGAGAAGATTAAAGCTTGATTTAATTTGAATCCTTCATTTCCATGTATAAAAGGGGGGAAAAGAATATGTGTGTTTGTATTCCTTTTTAAGGTGAGCAATTAATGTATTTAAATATAATGTATTCATACTGCATAATCAGGGGTGCACATAACTTCCTCAGTGAGGTACTCAGATGAGTACCTGGAGTCAGTGTTTGGTACTCCAACTTCTGGCTCCACTCAAAGTTATTTGATGAAGCCCTCTGTATCGCGAACGTCGACGGGGGGGGGGGGGGTGTGTGCTAGTGGAGTACTTCAGGAAAGTCGACGGGGGGGGGGGGGGCTAGTGGAGTACTTTGTGACCACAGAGCATGAACGTTGTGATCAGCAGTTTTAGCGCAGTTCTCCAGTGAAGGGGGGGGGGGGGGGGAGTCTCCCTCCGCAGCCGGTTGGCGTAGTTTTGGCACAATTCCGTTGTACAGACCGACGTTAACAGCAGCCCTGTCTGTGCACACGGAGACCGACTCTGTCATCCGGTGATCTAACCGCCTTCTGGAAAAGCTTCACAAGTACGTCGGTACGCAAATGCGACGGTACGCATGCGTACCAGTTATGTGCACCCCTGTGCATAATACAACGTGGTACCTAATGGAAGGTTACAAAGACATGAGTTGTATGCTGTCATTCTACACTACCTGTCTGTGATGGGTACATCCACTGCTAATAAGAGTCCACCAGCTTCATTTCAAATGAACCATACCTGCAGCCTGCTGGCCCCTATATCCCTCTCATCAAAGAGGGTTTTATACCGGCCTTTCTGCTGGCTGTGCTGGAGCCGCAGACAAGATGTGTGTGGGTGAAACAAGCACCGGGGTAGAGGCTACATCTTCTCCCAAGCAGAAAGAAAAAGACACCAGAAGCAGAGGTTTCCACATGAGAGAAGAAGGGGGGCTTTGTCTTTGTGTGAGTCCATTTGTTCAACGGCTCTCCTCATTAATGTCACTCAATGAGAGGGTCCTGGTTGGCTGGCTGCAGCTCCCCCTTCCACTGGCTCTAATGCTGCTGCTCTAACACTGAAAACCACAGTGTGACCCTGCAGCAGTGCTGAGATCAGTGAGGCAGGACATGTCTATGAAAAGCTTTGCAGAGCTAAGGATGACCACTGGCACTAGTTCTCTCTGCACACTGAATCCACGTGATGCAAGAAATAAAACAGCCACTAGTGTTGTTAGAACTGCAGTAGAAATCTGTTCATTCCAAACACATTTTCTGTTGTCCCCCTCAGCGACAGGATTTGATTAGTTGTGCGGCATGAAGGCATCTACATGACCTCTTTCACGCTTCCCAAATGTTGCCATCGAGTTGATATTCAGTATTGGTTCTTGTGACGTCCCTTCTAGGATTTGACCAAATGAACACAGCATATTTGCTTTGAGATTAATCCCACTACATATCCTAAAGTTTGCATAAAAGCATCAGCTATAATAAAAACAAAACAAAAAATGCGATGTATTCAACGTTCACTGGTTTATCTCCATTAAAAACAGGTCATAAAAGTATGCAAAACAGCCAAAAGACTGCCAACAACCCAAGCCTACACACACAAACAGCTCCAAGGTGTGTTAGCTATTATGAGGCCCAATTCCAAACAAATCCCTTCACCCTGTCCCAATTCCACTCTTTTTAGAGCGTTTGCATGGAGGTCCGCCACATTAACAGGTTCCAAACCAACTAATGTGTGTAAAGGTCCTTACACACAAGCCGATTTTTGGCAACGATAGTTGTCGGGCCGTCTATGAGCGTTGTGTCGCCCTACTCAGATTGGTGTGTCTTGGTGTGTACTGCACCGTCGTGTCTTTTCGGCCGTGCCGACACCTTCCGCCGCCAATTCGACATGTTGAATCGGGAGGCTGTCGGCTAAAGGCCGTCGGCCAAAGAAATCACTCTGATTGGCTGTTCAGCTTAGCGCATCAGTGCATGAGAAGCGAAACGGAAGTGAGGGACCCAAACAAACTTTTTTTTAATTTAATTTAACTCCAGCTCTCGACACAGGTTCGAGAAAGCCCCATGAGCTTCTCGCTGTAGAGTGAAAATGGAACGCACACGCTATTTGTCGTTTGTTTATATCACGCAGTCTGTTGCACCCATCCGGTTGTTGCCTCCTTTGAATGACGAATACACACTACGGATGCCTGCTGGTAAGGAGAGTTATTGCCACTCACGCATGCGCAGTTCGTACGTGCAGCTTGGCCGTCGGCTGAAGTCCTTGCGGTGTGTTCCAGTGCGAAACATGGCCAAGACGCAGGAGACGTGAGGAGACGTGAGGAGACGTTCCGTCGGGACGTGTTCTTTGGTGTTCTTTGGTGTCAGTTTGGTGTGTAATGACCTTTAGGGTTAGGGTTCTCACTCCCCACATTAGTTGGTTGCATACCAACCAAGGGAGTTATAAGACCCTCCAACAGCGAGTCTGTATCGGCCCCGACTCAACCAGGTGCCCTAACTGACCAGATGCAAGGCTGTAAGTGTCCTTAATGTGAACAAATAGTTCCATGCAAACATTTACAAGCAAACATTAAGGTTACATTGTGTTTTTTTTACCTATAGGATCCGATAAACCTTTCTCTAGAAAATGATAGATGTGTGCATTTCATTGTTAGGTTTTGTATATTTCCCAGAACCATTGCAAAAACCACATCTCTATAACATCAGATCTAGAAACAAGAAAAGGTTTAGATTTTTTTAGTCCGAGAGATGTTGATTTGCAACTGTGGTTGAAAACAATTTCAACCACAGGTAGAAATGATATAACCCCCCACCGTTGTCAGTCCTGCTGCAACAAGACACACTCTCTCTGAAGGCAGGGAAAGTCCTGCTGGTTTTCTGCTCTAATGAGATTGTCCGAAGACAACTGCAGGGCCTGTTTAACCTTCAGCCACCCTCCACTTCACAGCTTCTGGCTGCACAGCCGAGCTGTCTGCAGCTGGAGTGTATTGTTGTGAATGTCCTTGAGTCAATTTCATGTTTATTTGAGTAATAAATGCAAAGGCTGCCCTCCCTCACCACCCGAAACAACTCGTGCAAGAGAGAAATATCAAAGCTTTGTTCAAATATGCACGATATGGTGAATACAAAACCTTTGTTGTTTTCGTGCTTCCACACTGTCACAACAGTCACTAACAATGCTGCTCAAACTGCCAGCTTTCACTTAAACAAGTGGCAGAGTAGCAACAAAACTGCTACAGTAACACAACCTTCACTGTAAAACCTCAACTACCAAAGTGACAACAGCCTTCTCCGTGTGATAAAACATTCAGCAATCAATCGCACTGTGTCCTTGGGGGGGCAAAACAAGTGGATTTGAGATGTGCTCATGCATTACAAACACATCAAATTAAACTGTGACATTTCTACATTTCCCTGTGTTTCCGCTCAAGGAAACGGAAGGCACTTTTTTACCAAAACTCAAAATGTTCTCTGTGTACCTTTATTTTTTTTCTATTCAGATTGTGTGTATGCTGTAATACATTAACCATTCTTCGTGTCTGGAAATTGATACATCCAAACCACCAAAACACCGTATTGTGACAGCAAAGACACTTTCAGAATAGGTGACAACACACCTCTTTATAGCATAAATATTGAAATTGCTCTTACCTTGGGCTGAGCACGTCTAGGAAAGGCAACTTTAGGATCGATCTGAAGAAAGGAAAGCAAATAACGATAAATCAGCAAATGAAGACACAGAGAAAATTAGCGAAGGACAGCAATAGTCCAGAGAACAAGATAATGTATGTATAACCAGCATGTATAACCCTTCAAATGTGCATCATATCAAATTGCGTGCGTACACAGAAGAGATTTACAGGAACTGTTCAGTATTGTGTTAGCGTACTGTTTAGTCTTGCTTATTGAAGCTAAAGTGAGGCAAGGAATGCCCCCAGCTCACAGTTTCTCAGTTTGAAACCACACACTACTCTGGTAGACCACCACAGAAGAAGAGCAACTTATGTTACTGAAAGATTCTGACTTCGAAGACAGTGCACTTACTCGTGCTTTTCTAAGTATATACAGCGGAAGTATATGTGTATGTATGTATGTGTGTGTGTGTGTGTGTGTGTCTTCCTCACTTTGGTTTAGTTAATCACTGCTCCCATTAAAGATGGCTAATAACACTTAGAGCTACTAGCAATTTTGCTTCGCCCAATCAAAGGACCATTCCACATCAAATCTAATCTCTTCTTAAGTGGAGGGGGGTCAATAAAGCTGAAGTGATTTACAAATTACACCGACAAAGAGCTAATTAACATGGCGTTCAGGCTGCCCGCAAACTTATTGAAAGACAAGTCCTTTTCAACAAGGGAAAAAGAAAACTGCTGGCACAAGAACGAAGGATCCCAATGTTAAGCAAAGGCATGTTATGTAGGTATCACAATACCAAACAAAAAAGTGGTAAACCTTCAAATTACAGCCAGAGATGACAAAAAAGTTAACAGATAAGAGGGCCTCCTTTTCAAAATGAATACTCTAGTTTTTCTGCTGTTGGTAGATAGATATTCATTTTAATAAACTTGGTAATTATTATTTGAAGTTGGCCAGTTAAACACAGCCTTTTTTTTACTGTGTCGGCTCGCTGGTCTTAAATATGCAATGAAAAAGCACCAGTGGAAGAAGCGACCACACCTGCCTCACTGAGGGGGGTGTCTGCGCCCATTTTACTGAAACTCTCTTTCGTTTTTACGTTAGCTAGCTCTAGCAAAAAAATTATTAAGCAATACAACAGTGAATTTAAGCTACCTCTATCGGGTTCATATATGTATTGATATGGCTTTGATAGAAGCAAATGCCTCCACATCCATTGACCTCGCGACACGTCACTGATGGAAACGATTGGTCTGAACACAAGCCATTCAAATTGGTCATGAACAAAGAGCGAGCTGTGTTAGATCACATGACTGCTCGGGCTTCTTTCTCTCAGTCTTTGACGGAAGAGCAAATGAAGGTTGGTTGAGCTGGGTGGACTGAGACTTAAGAGGAAGAGAGCGTGTACCTGCAACCATAGCATGTGACTGTGACACTTTAAAGCATCTTCTTGGCAGCAGTCTGCTCACTCCACCCATTAAGAGATTGAGCACACGCCAGCTAAGACACTTCACTGTTCTCATCAAACACACAAGTGAAGAAGAACAGACATGGCCATGGAAAATACTCCCTGCTCATTGGACGACAGTGTCGTGTTCAATTCATATAAGAGTTTACTAAAACTGCTGAGGGGTGTGCTTTTATCTCCTTACACGTCCTCCTTTTTGACTGAGCAGTAGAGCAAATTCAAACTTAGTGTGAGAGCAAGATCTTCCGCTTGGTGCAAATGGTGAAAAAACTAACAAAAGAAACAGTGGCCAAATAAAATAGAAAAAAAGGCAGGGGGGCAGAGCCAGTCTGTCTTATAAAAGCAATGACACGTCATGTACCAAAAGTTCTGTGACCATAGCAGTGTGTAATGGTCAGAGCTGTGTCTCGGACCTAATTTGGCTCCAATAAATCTGATTTGCTCTCAGGAAAGAGCTGTGGCTCGGTTAAGTATTGAATAGAGCAGAAAATGTGATACTAATATTTTCTTTTAATTTAAACAAACTAAAGAGAAAATGTAATGGGAATCAAGTTGTATGGCTTTACTATTGTTTACTAGATCAAGCATTCACACAAGGCAAAAAACAAGAGTTCTGTTCAGTCACTGAGCCTGCACATGCACTCAAACACCACCACGGCTGTCGTTCTGCCCGCACCAATCGATCAAACCATCAATAAACAGCAAACCACCATCAATAACATCAATTCACACTCACAACATGAAAAAAAAACTACCAAGTTATTATAAATTACTCCAATAACTCACAGTGTGAGTATGTTTGGACAGAAGAAGAAGACAATAACGTGGCACTGACTACACCTTGAGAGACAACATCATGATCAATAGGATCTAAGTATTATTGTCCTTTTAAAATGTAGGATTGCAATTTGAAATGTTCCAGCTACACACAAAGAAATTATATAAAAAACATATTCAAAATATAAATTACAATAGATGCGGTGATTAAATGCCATATGTTCCCAACCACTTCAAGCTTTATTTCTGAAACAGTATGGAGCTCAAACTTTTCTCTCTCGCAGGGTTTACCACATGGACATTACGTTATACATATTCTCCTCTCCAGGTGTATACCGCTAGAACAGTGCCATTATATGTATTATATATATATATTAGGGCTGTCAAACGATTAACATTTTTAATCAGATTAATCACAGCTTAAAAATTAATTAATAGTCCAAAATATGTCATTTCTTTATGTATATTGTTGTGGGAATGGAAAGATAAATGAAAGAAGGCGGATATATCCATTTAACATGTTTATTGTAAAAAATGTCTGTGTCAAAATGAAAGAGAGCACCTATCAATCATCAAACAGTGGGGTCTTAATTCATTACGTGTTGATTTCTATCAACGGGGGAGTACTTCAGGAAAGTCGACGGGGGGGGGGGGGGGGGGGGGGGGGGGGCGGGGGCGCTAGTGGAGTACTTCGTGACCACAGAGTGTGAACCGTGTGAACATTGTGATCAGCTGTTTTAGCGCAGTGCTCCAGTGAAGGGGGGGGGAGTCTCCCTCCGCAGCCGGTTGGCGTAGTTTTGGCACAATTCCGTTGTACAGACCGACGTTAACAGCAGCCCTGTCTGTGCACACGGAGACCGACTCTGTCGTCCGGTGATCTAACCGCCTTCTGGAAAAGCTTCACAAGTACGTCGGTACGCAAATGCGCTTTGTGACACAAGTGACGGTACGCATTTCAGATTACGCACATAACCTGCGTACCAGTTATGTGTTACCTGTACTACAGCAAAAGTATTCTCCGTCGGGACTTCCTGCAACAACACCACGCCGTTATCTTGATTCTGATTGGCCAGAAGACATTATCAAAGATGTTCTATTGATTTGAGATCACTACAAAAGTTTTCAAAACCGTTTCTGATCTTCGGTATTTCCAGACAATTTGCTACTGAAATCAATCTTACTAACTGCTGTCTGTGCAATTCTCGGCGTGAGTTGGCGGACTTTATTTTGCTTACTTTAACATCATTTTTCATGGTGGGGCTATGCCATTTTTGGTATGGGTGTAGCCTACCCCAGCGCTGCCACTGGTGGGACAGCATTAATATATATATATATATATATATATATATATATATATATATTAGGGCTGTCAAGTTAACGCGTTAATAACGCAAAAAAAAATGACCGCCACTAATTATTTTAACGCGATTAACGCATGTGTATTTTTTTTCCTCGGCCGCCCCGTAGTTTCAGAGCGCATCGAGTTTAAAATACCATCTACAAGCTGATGCTGACAGCCCCGCTCCTGCCGCCCGCTTGTGGCAGACCACACTTCCACGCTCACCGGCAGGCACCGACTGGCTATCGGGAGGACCGGGAGGGTGTGTGTATGTGTGGCCCGAGCGAGCGAGAGAGAGACCTTACGTGCATTGTTGTTGTTAGCATCTGGTGCTAGCTAGCTGCGCTAACGGATATAAGGAGCTGTTTAAATGAAAACAGAGGAGCGACATTTCGCCACAACTGCGCCGAGCATTTGACTTTATGCAGGAAGCCAGACAGTGGGACATTGCACGAAAAGTCAGCCCACTTAGCACGGATAGTGCGCAACATGATTGCAGCGTCCAGGCAGCTCCCGTTCGAGCATATGCCTTGAGTTGCACATAGCTCCAACGATCACACACACACGCACACACACTCACACACACGCACACACCATTTGTATTGTATGAGAGAGGTTCCAGGTTGAATTGAGGCGAATATTTGTAATGTTCAGAGGTTGTTGTGTTTAATATTCATGAGAATATTTGTCATTGTTCAAATGATAATAAACATTAGCATAAAGCATATTTGTCCACTCATATGTTGATAAGAGTATTACAAACTTGAAAAATATTCCTCTAAGGTACATTTAGAACAGATCAAAAATGTGCGATTAATTTGCGATTAATCGCGATTAACTATGGACAATCATGCGATTAATCGCGATTAAATATTTTAATCGACTGACAGCCCTAATATATATATATATATATTAATGCTCTCAAAATTATTGCGTTAACGGCGGTAATTAATTTTTTGAATTAATTGCATTAAAATATTTAACGCATTTAACGCATGCGCAGAATACGTTAATGCCGCATACGTTCCACCCAGTGGCAGCGCCAGGGTAGCTGGGGTAGGCTACACCCATACCAAGAAATGGCTTAGCCCCACCATGAAAAATGATGTTAAAGTTAGCAAAATAAAGTCCGCCAACTCGCGCGAAGTAAATTGCACAGACAGTAGTTAGTAAGATTGATTTCAGTAGCCACTTGTCTGGAAATACCGAAGACTAGAAACGGTTTTGAAAACTTTTGTCACGTAGTGATCCTCTTCTCAATAGAACATATTTGATAATGTCTTCTGGCCAATCAGAATCAAGATAACGGCGTGGTGTTGTTGCAGGAAGTCCCGACGGAGAATACTTTTGCTGTAGTAGCCTACACCTCTATATACATCGATACAACATTACGTGTTGATAGAAATCAACACATAATGAAATAAGACCCCACGGTTTGATGATTGATAGGTGTGATAGGTCTTTCATTTTGACACACAGAACAATGTTATAATAAACATACATAGATACTGTATGTAGGTTGGGACGTGTCACGTTAGCCGGATGTCGCCAATGACGTTATAGGAGCGAAAATTCTGGATCTGCTTATTAGCACCCCCTTTTTATTCCTTCTTTTTTTTTTAAAGATGTGGGTACGGAGGAAAAGAGAGAGGGTTTTGTTTTCTGACACTTTGTGAGTTCCCTGACACACTGGGGACACATACAGTGGGGCAAAAAAGTATTTAGTCAGCCACCAATTGTGCAAGTTCTCCCACTTAAAAAGATGAGAGAGGCCTGTAATTTTCATCCTAGGTATACCTCAACTATGAGAGACAGAATAAGAAAAAAAAAATCCAGAAAATCACATTGTCTGATTTTTAAAGAATTGATTTGCAAATTATGTTGGAAAATAAGTATTTGGTCAATAACAAAAGTTCATCTCAATACTTTGTTATATACCCTTTGTTGGCAATGACAGAGGTCAAACGTTTTCTGTAAGTCTTCACAAGGTTTTCTCACACACTGTTGCTGGTATTTTGGCCTTGTATGTCTTCCATTTTCTAATAATTGCTCCCACAGTTGATTTCTTCACACCAAGCTGCTTACCTATTGCAGATTCAGTCTTCCCAGCCTGGTGCAGATCTACAATTTTGTTTCTGGTGTCCTTTGACAGCTCTTTGGTCTTGGCCATAGTGGAGTTTGGAGTGTGACTGTTTGAGGTTGTGGACAGGTTCCATTCATACAGTTAACGAGTGGAGGACAGAGGAGGCTCTTAAAGAGGAAGTTACAGGTCTGTGAGAGCCAGAAATCTTGTTTGTTTGTAGGTGACCAAATACTTATTTTACCGAGGAATTTACCAATTAATTCATTACAAATCCTACAATATGATTTCCTGGATTATTTCCCCCCATTCTGTCTCTCATAGTTGAAGTGTAGCTAGGATGAAAATTACAGGCCTCTCTCATCTTTTTAAGTGGGAGAACTTGCACAATTGGTGGCTGACTAAATACTTGTTTGCCCCACTGTATGTATGTATAAAACACATCAAAAAGTGCATTTTGCATAATAGGTCCCCTTTAAATCAGTTTCATGGGGAGAATGTGTTAAATGCACTATGAAACCTCATTGTATATTTTTGTACATTGAAAAATAAAGGCTTTCTATTCTATTGTAAATGCTGAGCAGATATCAATAATCAGCTATTTGATGTAGGTGTTGTTATTGTCAAGATCCTCTGAATCCTCTGAGCCACAGCCGCCCTGTGATATGATATTGGTAATGAAACTACCTGGTTGGCATGTTTTTAGTACACGCCAGTGGGGCTATCAGGCTCGTGAGATATATAACCGTTCATACAAGGAGGGCTCTCCAGCCACAATCAATCTTAATAAAGAAAGAAAAAATAAAGAAAAATAAACTATGGAATAAGTAAATTATGATTTTGTAATTGCAATAGTTTTGTTTAGTTTGCATTTATATTTTAGTCATGTCAGTAATAAAGACCTCAATTCAACACATTATTTAAAAAATAAATAAATGTAGCTAAAGATTGTTTTGTTTATATTAATATTAAAATGTATATTCACATATATTTACATATACTGTGAGATTATTTGCACATATAATAATGGACCTGAGTTCTACTCCAGCCATTCAAGATTTCGCACCTAGAGTGAAGTAATAAAGTACATTCAATTCAATCTTCAGTCCAATTTCGGTTATACTGTGCATCAGTGTTTACAAACGTCAGATAATAAATAATAAGAAATGTCATTACAGAATTATCAAAAATATGTCTTCATTACAGAGTTCACCCACTAGAGAGTGCTAACATGTCATGTGTCTGAGTCTTTTAATAAGCACATTTTAAGGAAATGTATCATGTACTGAGCGGGGCCTTTACAGGGCATTTGAAAAAAGGACTCCAGAAGAAAAGTAATATGATGTTAACAATGGTTTCAATTAAAGCTGACCACTTAATCAACTCGAGAATATGCACTAAATAGATGTCAGATGTCAAGCGTCAGACCTTTGCAGCCCAGCAGGGTCCAGCTCTCATCCTTCATTTCTCCACTTTCAACATGACACAACCCATTACAGTCCAATACGGCTGCAGCTCATACCAAAGGGCTTATTTCGATACCTGTGTTAAAGCCTCAGTAAATCAGCTGTCAAAGCTTTCTCAACAGTCACCCAGACTGACCTACTTTGTTCAACAGGCCCTGCTCACGCACAAATCACCTTTGCCCCACTGTGTTCCACAACACATGATCCATCCAGATATAGAGTGGTGCAGGAATGAGTTGTAAAACCACAAAATAAGTTAGCATTTTCCCACTGCCTGTTCCCTTGTCTCGAAGTCAACGTGTGACAGTCGGACAGTGAATACTTTTCAGCGGCCACTGCCGTGAGTTAACGGGAGAATAATCTCCGGTGGACGAGCCGCGCTCCAGCGGGCGGTAATGGCACTGAAACACATTAATAAACAATGCACCATGGCACTCTAGAGAAAGGTATAAGGCTGGAGAAGTAGTTCTTTAATTTAATCTGGCTTCGTATGATTAAAAACTACCCGACGCAGTCCTCTATTGATGTTGTGAGCGGTGTTGCGGAGAAAATCAGCGACGTAAAACGCAGTGTGGGTCTTAAGAACTTCGAAGGCACGTAAACGGTTACGTCATGACACAAACGATGACGCAATAATTCACCTTTGAACCTAATTCACATTTGAACCTGCATTTAACAACGAGTGGACCAAAGAAAAGAAAAGTTGACAATGAGTGCAGAGTGTTTAAAGAGGAGTGGACAGCGAAATATTTTTTCACCGAAGTGCGATCAAAGGCTGTATGCCCCGTTCCCGGTCCTCCCGATGGCCAGTCGGTGCCTGCCGGTGAGCGTGGAAGTGTGGTCTGCCACAAGCGGGCGGCAGGAGCGGGGCTGTCAGCATCAGCTTGTAGATGGTATTTAAACTCGATGTGCTCTGAAACTACGGGGCGGCCGAGGACAAAAAATACACATGCGTTAATCGCGTTAAAATAATTAGTGGCTTTAAAAAAAAATTGCGTTAACGCGTTATTAATATATATTAATTAGGGCTGTCAAGTTAACGCGTTAATAACGCGTTATTTTTTTTTTGGGTTAACGCGTTATTAACGCGTTAACTTGACAGCCCTAATTAATATATATTTTAACGCGATTAACGCATGTGTATTTTTTGTCCTCGGCCGCCCCGTAGTTTCAGAGCGCATCGAGTTTAAAATACCATCTACAAGCTGATACTGACAGCCCCGCTCCTGCCGCCCGCTTGTGGCAGACCACACTTCCACGCTCACCGGCAGGCACCGACTGGCTATTGGGAGGACCGGGAGGGTGTGTGTATGTGTGGCACGAGCGAGCGAGAGAGAGACCTTACGTGCATTGTTGTTGTTAGCATCTGGTGCTAGCTAGCTGCGCTAACGGATATAAGGAGCTGTTGAAATGAAAACAGAGGAGCGACATTTCGCCACAACTGCGCCGAGCACTTGACTTTATGCAGGAAGCCAGACAGTGGGACATTGTACGAAAAGTCAGCACACTCAGCACGGATAGTGCGCAACATGATTGCTGTTGCCTGTTATTGTCTCATTATACCGCACTGTGAATGAATTAAAAGTAAATATACAAGTCATCATGAACACAGTTCTGTCAGACAGAGGGCTGTGCCTCCTGTCATCATTAATGGACGTCTCTTTAAAATGACCGCTCAGAGGAGAGGATTTCTCATTTCTCTAACCGCCTGCTGCTTCCCCTCCTCTCTCCTCGGTTCCCCTCCTCGGCTCCTCCGCTCGCATCTCCTGTGGGCGGGACTAAGACACGAGGATAGGAGTCGAGGAGGGGAAATTAGTGAAATGAGAAAGGCCCCAAGTGATCTAAAAAAGGTTAACTTACCATTTTAGAATCTAACTCGTGGTGCGTCAGTGCCAAGACTTTATCTACGCTGGCAGCATCTGCAAAAGTGATGAAGCCAAAGCCCCTGTTGAGAAACGATACAACAGCACATGACATTTCTAACATTATATAAGTTATGCTTCACATTTATTTTTTGTCACATGTCATGACAAATTCTCTAATCCCCAGTCTGAGGTATACCTGCCCCATGTATCCTCCAGTATTTACATATTTCATTTCCCTGTTCTATTTTCCACTTGTGTCGACATATTACGTGACATTTTCTTAAATTCATTTAATTTAAAGAGCAATGTATAAATGATTGTGGTCTCTGCCCACAGTTTAGGAGAGCCAATTGATTTTGAATTGTTTTTCACTTTGATTTCAAACCCAATTACCTTATGCATTACATTCACACATAAATAAGGGAATTGTTAGTATGAGAAAATGTTCTCCAAAGCTTCAATGTCAAACTGCACAACACTTTCATTCAAAAGTGAAATGACTGAATAGTATTCATAGGACTATAAGAGGTAACATAAATACAAATTATTGTTTTTACCTGGAACGTTTTGTCGTTGGGTCTCTCATCACCATACATTCTCGGATTTCCCCAAATTTACAAAAATATTCTCTAAGGCTATCTGTGGGAAAAAAAGAGGGAGGTTAATCTCAAGGTGTTTTATTTACTTCCACGTTAGATTAAAAAAATGCATTCGTGTTGACAGCAGTGAAGGTGTCCTGTGTTAAACAGGGGTCGAATGGAGGACTTCAAATCAAAATAACCTTGCGCCGTTAGCGCGCGCACACAAACACAGTTCTTACCTGGTGAAGTTTGCCAGCTGAGGCCACCGATAAACATTTTCCTGCCAAGGGAAAGGCGACAGAATTCAATACATATATTCCAAATCGGCCATTGTGATGTTGAGCGAAGTTATTGACCGGTTAGAGAGACATTCAAAAGCTGGGGACAAAAATAGAGGGAATGCAACAACGAGGCAGCCCGACAGCCGTCTTCAATCCGGGCAGCCCTTTCTCCGCGGAGGACCAGGGTCATCCAACTTCCATTCAAAACATCTGTCAGTTTAAACCTACCACCGTATAGGCAGCGGTACATACAGGGTACAAACGAATATTGAGTGGTCGTCTTACTGTAAGAACACAGTCTACAATTCGGCATATATGTACTACACTAAAAATAACTAAAAACGAAATCTTAGTTCAACTTTTAACTCGGGTTCGGCTGTTAGAGAATATTCACCTCCACCAAAAACACAGCCTGAGCAAGGAGCACTGTGAACTAAATGCAATGTATTAAAATAAAATGAGTCCAAGGCGAGGGAATACCGGACTTAGCTTAACATTTGTTTGAAATGAACTCTTTTTAATTCGGTGTAATATTGCCATTAAGTAGGGCAGCGAATGACCCACACATTTCTAAGCGAAGTTTGGCATTATGTTCCCTCCACACACGCACTAACTAACGCCACATATCGGGGTCAGCCAAGCGTTTACACTGCAAAAGGGGGCAGGCCCGTCTGAAAATATAACCAAACAAAGCTGTTGTTGACGGGACCCGGAAGATAGTGGAGCAAAATCAAGCTGCCGTTTTTTTTTTAAGAGTGACAATTCCCCTGTTTGTAATGACAGGCTTTAACCTACCCCGGGTCGTGCTGCGGTTCAGTCGGGCTTCCAGACGTGGCTTGGCTGCCGTCCCCTTCCATGTTTTGACCCAGCTACAGGCAGTGAGTGACGGATACACACAGGCGTTAGGGTCGGCGGATAGAGCGGAGCTACGGTGTCAGTGAGCCGGGAATGCAGCGCTCCGTCACACGTGGGATCAGTCAGGTCTGTGGTCCCTCCTCCGCCGTCACCGACCAACCACACTGACGTCACTTTTCCACAACCCGCCCATATTAACTGCTTGTTCGGTGAATCCTGTCAGCTGTCATGTAGCATGGAGTACTTGGGTCAGACGAAGGTACGTTTTACAACTGTCATATCAGAATCAGAAATCCTTTATTCGTCCAAGGTCAGTGTATGTTTCGGTCATTGGATTTTCTTTTCACAAATGGATATTCAAAAACAAAAAACGACTGGATATTTAATTTTCATTTTAAAATTGAAAAACCAAAATTGAAATACAAGGCGTTTTTCTTTATCATGGTCAAAAATGGATTTACTAAACTTAAAAAACGGGATGATTTTCATTTTCTACTTCTCAAAACAAAAAATAAAATCACTAGAAAACAGAAACAAAAAAACTACCGGTTTTTTATATTCTGCTACCGGAATTACCTTATAAAATAAGAGCGCAGGTGAGAACGGTCAATCCGTGTATACGGTCCATTTGTTTTCACAACGAAAACAGCCAAGAAACATATTGAGCCCAGAAAATGAATGTTATTAAGGGCTGTAATGAAATATAACAGGCCTATATGTCTAAAATGGACAACATTGTTCGGAGATTTCAACTATACAACGATTCTGCACTGCAGTCAGCCGTCTCTCGAGTTTGTTATTATTTTTTCTGCCATTAGTTCTTCGTGAGATTGACACTGTTGGACTCAGTAGGCTAGTAGTGAAACGACTCCCACAAGTAGCCTACTATGATTGAAGTACTTACTGTGTACTTTTTGAGTAATCCTCTGTCAATGTCCCCTCCTGAGAACAAGAATGGATGTTTCTCTTCTATTTTGAATCAGCGTTGAAACACCTTTCTTCTTGAGACTGATATTGTTGGACAGAGTATTTTAAGAGGATATGGTAGACATGATATCAGCAATACTTCCAGTCAGTCCGGCAGCAGCATTTTTACCCCTTGGAAAGTCTTTCACGCTATTTCAATTGACTTTGGTTGAAGTTAATAACAATATTGATATTATGTAGATATAGGCCTAGCATATTGTGGTGACAGTTACGGGACATAATTCACTGAGTCATATAGTGCGTGTTGCACCACGGACGAGTTAGTGAGTGCACCGGTGTTGTTGTTAGTCTAGCTCAGTGGTTCCCAAAGTGGGGGGCGCGGAGGCATGACAGGGGGTGCGCGAGAGACCAGGAGGAAAAATGGTTATTAAAAAAGATTTAAAAAAAAAAAAAAAAATCTTAATTTGAAAAATTATTGATTCGAAAATAATATGATACAGTACTAATACGTCTGCGTCTTTCATTAAAGCTCGGCTCTGTGTGTGTGTGTGTGGACCGAGCCATTTTGTGTGTGTGCGCGAGCGAGCGCACCGGTACCGGAGATCGTAGTTGTTAGCTTCTGGTGCTAGCGAGCTACGCTAACGGATATAAAGAGTTTTTTCAACAACAAAGTGGAGGAGATTCCGCTCCTGTCAGACCAACACACTCTCACTCCATAATCGTCCAGGAGCGACGTTTGGTCAGTGTCCGTGGCGTGCAGTTGTGACGCTCCTAGGCTCCTTCAGCTTCATAAAGGGACGCAAATAGCTTTCAACTGATTGCAATGTATTCCCATCTGCGGCGGGATTTGACGCTCATGGAAGCACGGCATTCGTTTGTGTCGGCTGCCCTTAAAGGCAATGTGAGCGTCCATTCTCATTGGATAACGGAGAATTGTACACCCGGAAGTAAGTATTCCCCTTACTGTCGATTGATTTTACAGTGATATCTGCACTACTCATCGACTAAAAAACACCAGATTATCCTTGTTAATTACACAACATTGATTGGTTTAAATTGTGTGCAATGCTTTTGTATTTTTCCCCTTCGATTCGGAGAAACAAATATGTTTTCGGAGTAAAGGATGGCAGAAGACACTACACTACCCAGAATCCCCAGCTATCGTTTGGACTACACCATGTGCTCTGTTTGACAAACCCCGTTTTTTTTTTCACCATTCATTCCAATGGCTGGCGTCTATGTCACGTGATCTTCAAATTTCTCCCTGCAGAAAAAAAAACATGGCCGAACTTCGTTTTATTCTCGGTGGAAAATGCCTATTTTAAAGTTAGTTTGGCCATTAAAATGCGTTTTGATGTCATTTGATGCGAGAAATATGAGTTTTTATTTCAGATTATGTGTGCAGTGGATGTACATGATCTTTAGTTTGCTAGTTATTATGAAGATTACTTCAGGAAATTGCGTCCATAGAACGTTTTCATTGTTACCAAGGTGGTTGCTAGACGCTGCTATCGATATTATTTCTGTTATGTTGTGTAACTGTTTAATGGTGTTATCTTTATTGCTACCCCCTTCCCCGTCAATGTATAGTGTTGTTCCACAGCGCAAACGTATTAGTTTAACAAAATCCGCATCTAAAGATACGTTATTTTCCCCTGTGCAATTCCAGTCTCACATCTCACATCACATCGTCATTAACAAATACCGGAAACAGACCGAAAACATCAACAACAACACAAATAATACTTTATTCCGAGTGTACTTGCTTTTCTCTTTGAAAGTCATCACATAACGGCATTGTAATACACGGTTCGGCTGCATTAAATATTACATATCTGCCGTAGTTCTGTATTTATAGAGCCCTGATGAGAAGACTTCTAGACAAACATGAGGAACTGAAAACGTGACGTGGATCATAAATATATCAGCCATTAAACAACATCTTACATTTATTTTCACACAATACGTCTCCTTGCAGTATCAACACTAATTCGGCTGACTTTTATATTTGATCCAATTGGTAGATAGGCTGTATTTACACCATAAATGTGCATAGCTGATATAAAGGGACACCTGGTGGTTAAAGCATGTTATTGAATTTCATTATTTTTATTATTAGATATTAATAGGATCCCTATAAAGTATATTCATTACTCGTTATTCTCTACTAATCAGGCATGAAAACGGGTCAGGGGTGAAAAAGGTGAGAAGGATATTATCCCTCTAGGGCAGTGTTTCTCAAACTTTTTCATACCAAGGACCACCTAACCAATAAAAAAACACTCGCGGACCACCTAACTCCACAAATATCCAAAAACACATCGTTTTTTAGAAATCGCCTGAAAATGGTACAAACAAGTGGCAACATGTGTGATGAAGGTGTTTATCTGGGCTATATCATGCAATCGAAAGTGAAACTTAAGCTCGTTCCATTGCGGAGATATTCCCGCAAGAGTGCGAAAAACTTAAATAAATGTATTTCTTTCAAATGTGAAATGTTACCAATATACTCACGGACCACTAGGGGGCACTCACGGACCACCAGTGGTCCGCGGACCACACTTTGAGAAGCACTGCTCTAGGGGGGTCCGGGGGCATGCTCCCCCGGAAGAACATTTTGAATATTCCATATTTTAAAGCATCAATCTGATGCATTTTGAGATGCATTTTTTTGCCAACCTGGGGAGAGCTGGAGAAACTTAACTTCAGCCATGAGTCAAAAATATTATGGCCTCCTTACTAAGTATTATCAGGGATGCAAACTCATCAGGTATGGAAAAGGTGACAAGGACCCGAGCCCCCCGACCCCACGGAATATCGGCTTTAAAATGAGGAATAACAGAGGATTTTAGCAGTCAAAACAACTAAAGCAGCAGTGTTAATAATAACAGAAACGCTAAAGAGTCACATCTAATAGAAATATATAAAAGCATTTATTTTAATTGTGTAGCAGTCAGTTTATAATTTTGGCAGCACTGTTGAGCATTTTGAAAATGTATTTTCATGCCTCTGCAAGGCTTAGTCTTTCTATCTGTATGGCATCTGGTGTAAAGTAACTAAGTTCATAAACTCAAGTACTATACTTGGGTACAATTTTGAGATACTTGTACTTAATTTAAGTATTTCAATGTTTTGCTACTTTGTTCTTCTTCTCCACTACAGTTCAGAGGTAAATGGTGTACTTTGACTCCACTACATGTATTTAATACCTTTAGTTACTTTACAGATCTGGATGAATGATGGTAAATCTAATCAAGTGTTAAATCAGACTTTAGTTCCACCTGGAGTAAATCCACAAGCTACCCTGCAGTATACAAAGTCATTCAGACTAGCTGCACCTTTACCAGCTTTGAGAACACTTTCATGATCAATCATTATAAAACATATCATATATATTATTCTGAAATGGACCAATCTGCACAATGACTACTTTTACTGTCTTTCACTATATTTTGATGAGAATACTTTTCTACTTTCACTTGAGGAATATTTTGAATGCAGGACTTTTACTGTGACAGTATTCCTACACTCTGGTACTTCTACTTTTACTCAAGTACAAGATCTGAGTACTTCTACTTTTACTCAAGTACAAGATCTGAGTACTTCTACTTTTACTCAAGTACAAGATCTGAGTATTTCTGCTTTTAATCAAGTACAGGATCTGAGTACTTCTACTTTTAATCAAGTACAAGATCTGAGTACTTCTACTTTTACTCAAGTACAAAATCTGAGTACTTCTACTTTTACTCAAGTACAAGATCTATACTTATACCACCTCCGTTTATAGCCTATGAAAAACTATTAGAAAACGAAGGCTAAAGCTAACGTTAGCAGATAGTGACAATGTATGCTAGCTAGCTAGCTCAACGATAATATTGCGACAGAAAGACTTTTCAGTTTACATCACGCTCTGCGCTCCGACAGGGAGCCCTGCTCTGAACATCTGAACGGCCTGTTCTAACAGCTGTTCACACAGTGACTCCGGACCGCACAGTTAATATTAACGAACGCACCCGTAATGTGGCTGCTGAAGCTAGACCATCATCGCGGAGCAGCGGAGCCTACAGGCAGGAAGACTCGAGCACACAGCTCGCGCTGCATTATAATATATAAAAAGAACACCATGCGTGTCATGATGGCACATAACATCTCGCGGCCGCAGATTACTCCGGGTCCCAGACCCCCCCATACCCCAAAAAT